ACCCTGCTCTAGCTGCAGATGTCCCTGTCCCTGCAGGGGGTTGCACTAGATGGCCTTGAAAGGTCCCTTCCCACCCAAACCCATCTGTGATTCTACCATACCTACAGTGCTACAGTCAACCCAAGGTAGGCTGTAGGCAACACACTGATCTGCTCTCTACTCACCTGTAAGAATAGATGGGCTTGGGGTAATGCTTTGGGTGCAGTTCTTGGGCAGAGTGAGGAGCCAGGCGTGGCTGAGAGTAGTGTGGCTGAGTCCCATAGGATGTGTTGTAGATTGCTGCTGGGTTACACTGTGTGCAGAAGGAAAAGAAGATGATTAGGGGGCTGGAGCATCTCTGTGCCAGGACAGGCTGAGAGCCCTGGGGCTGGAAGAGAAGCCTCAGAGGGGATCTGAGCAGTGCTGAGCAAGAGCTAAAGGGTGGGGGGCCAGTGGATGGTGCCAGACTCTGGTCAGTGGTGCCCAGGGACAGGAAAAGGGGCAATGGGAACAAATTGGAACCCAGGAGGTTCCATCTGACCAGGAGGAGAAAATTCTTTGGTGTGAGGGTGGCCGAGCCTGGAGCAGCTGCCCAGAGAGGCTGTGGAGTCTGGAATCTCTGGAGAGATCCCAAACCCTCCTGGCTGTGACCCTGGGCACCCTACTGTGGGTGAGCTGCTGGAGCAGGAAGTGGGATGAGATGATCTCCAGAGGTCCCTTCCCACCCCACCATGCTCAGGTTCTGGGATTCTGTTAAAATGTCAGCTGCAGAATGTCTGTGGGTATGTAGGTTTAGGGACATTGTATTGTTTTTCTCCTGAAAGAGTTCTAGATGATCTTGGCAGGTACCTCAAGACAGAAACAACAAGTACCAGTACCTGTGGCGTGCTCTGTGCTAGCGCAAACACTTGCTGTGAGTGAGGAGGAGGGAAGAGCTGCTGCTGTGCTTGTAAACCAGGAGATGGCTGCCCACCTACAGCATACTGGCTCATCTGCAGAGATAAAGACAACAGACGTGGCAGCCTTGACATTACCAACATCTTCTCCTAAGCAGTGTTGCAAGAACAAACCACTGAGGCCTTCTCTTACATTTGCTCCGTGTGTTGAAATAGAGTTCAGTCCCAGGATCCCCTGTGGCAGGCTGGCCTGGACATGAATCATGGCTCCAGGGGCTCCTGTTGAGTGCATGTTGCTTGCCACAGGACCTGCTTTGGAGAAAGCAAAGGCAACAAACGTTTGCACAAAAGTGCACTTCAGAAAAGAGAGCTGGTGTTTGTCTTTAACAGCCCCGGTCGGACACGGCGATGCTCTGGAGTGGATAATGACACCTCCCTGGGGCTCTCCAGCCCAAAATGAACCCAGAGCAGTTCCCAAAAGAACCCAGAGCAGTTCCCAAAAGAACCCAGAGAGTTTCCAGAGCTGCAAAGATGACATCAGCCACTTCTGAAACTCGTTATGCAGGGAAGGAAAGGCGGCAGCTGTTTAACCGTCCGCAGCGGTGCCGCAGTGTCCCACAGAAGGGAGGCAGAACCATCTCCAGCACTCCCTGCAGTGCAGGAGGGAGGCAGAACCATCTCCAGCACTCCCTGCAGAGCAGAAGGATCTCTGCTCTGAAGCAAGCAAGCTGCCACACTCAGCCCCCTCAGCACGGGGCCTCAGGGAAGGAGGGTGGTTACCCAAAGGATGTTCACCAAGGCAAGGAAGGCGTTCGTGTGCTGTAAGGCTCTGTGAAGCAAACAGGTATGGGGTAAATAAGATACTCTTCATTTTATCAGTGTTGAAACAAACAAGAGAGACTAATTACCTAATTTCAAAGCTGTTGAAAACCTCTGAAATGCAAGTCTTAAACACCTTGGGCCTGAGTTCATGCAACAAGGCACCAGCAACTACACTGAGCAGTAAAGGGCAATTGGATCCTAAGGCCTCTAAGTTGTCACTGCTGGGGCTCTCTGCCTCTTGAAATGCAGGGCAGGGCCCAGCAGCAGCCCTAGCAGAAGACAAGAGGCTCCAGATCTTCTGGCAGGAAGCCAAATGTAATGCCCTTCAAAGGAATCTGCTCCTAGGAAGCTGGCCTGTAGTGGGGGGGGGGGGGGAGGAGGCTGTGGGCTGTGTGGTTTGAAGAGCAAGTGTTTAGCACCCTGCCCTGTGTGGTTTGAAGAGCAAGTGTTTAGCACCCTGCCCCTTTACCTGTCTGTTGTAGCATTGCATTCTGAGCACCAAGGCTGAAATCCATTCTTCCACTGGCCATCTGTTGTAACCGAGGCACATCAACAGATGTCAGCCACGACAAGGACTGTAAGTCACTGGGGAGCTCATCTTCACTCAGCTGGGAGGGGTCAGAAGCTAAGAGTCTGCAAAACAGCAGGGGAGGTTAGCAGAGAGCAGAGGTGCTGCCACGCTGGCCCTGGTAAGAGGGGAGGTGGCCAGGGTGCCAAAGCTCACGTCGGTCAGGGAGGAAAACTCAGGGTTCAGATGGGACCTTTGGTTTCACAGCTGGTTGGTCACTGCTGCCCCTCACCTAATCTTGTGTTCCTTCATATGATTGGAAATGTTTTGGGTAGGAAAACTTCTTGTGCAGTATTTGTAGTGGAAGAAGGCCTAAGAAGCCAGGAGAGAAAGTGCCTAGAAACAAAACCACAGCCACTTTATTACATTTGTCAGAAATTTGCATTTGTCTGGCCTGGGTGCAGAAGAAACCTGTCAGGACTTTGGACCTGACAATTCTGCATTATCCTTGGCCTTGGCAGGAGTTCCTGTGCCCAGCTCCTCAAGGACCTGTGTGTGCTGCTGGCTGGAAACCTTGGGGAGGGCTCTTCCCAGCTCCTGCATCCCAGTGCTGGGCACACATCAGCACAGAGCTGCTGCATCAAGTGCAGGATGACCTCTTCCAGTCAGACACGTGAAGTTATTGACACTTCACCAGCACCCAGGAAGCCTGTGAAAGAATGTTGGAGGCAGTTTTTGATATAGTGAAGGATCAGAATGAGAAGCTGGTGAGGGAATTGGCAGGAACACCCAGCCTGCCTTCAGCAGCAAAAATGAGGTGTGATGATGACAGGCTGCTTTTGGTTTGGGTGCTCCACCCCACCTCTTTGGGTTTGCTCCTGAGAGGGTGTGTGGCATGAAACCAAAATATTGGAATATATTTACAGTACACATAAATCCCTGGGTGGCCAAAACTCCCACTAAAGTGGATAAAAGAACTATTGCAAATGATGGGCTAAACTATTTTTACTCTATGTTAAACAGCATTACAAAAGTCACAGGTATGGAGGAGTAAAGCAGTATTTGGAACAGGTCAGAAAGTTATTAGATACCCAGGGTAGACCCAGAGGGATTCAGGTCCAGGAAAACATCTTTCTCCCCCAGAAGAACATTGTTTAGTTGCATGTAGTTGATTTTTCTTTCAAAACAAAGGCTTTAAGGGGCTCTCTCATAGCTGTGTTAAAGCCAGCTGCGTGGTCCTGAATGTGTGGACACTGCCAAATGAGGATGCAGAAGCCTTAAATAAATCTGGTCTCTTGCTGAAGCATCTTTTATGTTTTACACAATTGTAAATCAGCTTAAAAGAATAAGGCAGAACTCTAGTGCCTGGCTGCCCAGGAGCTTTCAGCTCCTCTATTCATGACTTCCAGAAACATGTATCCAAGTTCCCTA